AGGCAAATATTGGAACCAACTGGAAATACACCCGAGTTACATCAGGTGATGACTGTATGTTGTGATTTGTCCTATGAGTGTTTTCGGAGTTCACATAAAGAGATTTGTGGTGCCTCTGACCACATCCAGTTTCTCTACAGCGCACAGAGGAAAAACATTTTGATGCAATATGATTGGGTTTGACGCAGTTGTAATACAATTTCTTATCCCTTACTAATTGTCGACGTTCCTTAACAGTCTTGTTTTAATAGAGTGGACATCTATACAAATAGTGTGCATCGCTACACAACGCACATGACATTTTCATTTGTGTTTCAGTCTGTGCTTGAATCCATGGCTGACTATGAGTTGAAACTTGGTTTGAGTTTGTTTACCTGCCTGTGCGTGAAGTTCACTCCCATATATGACACTTGACTGTTTTGGTGATGTTTGTCGACTTACTGCTGCATACAGTGTGCTCTTCCTTCCACTTGTTTTCTCATGTTGAGTATGTGAAAGGCCAGATTGGTCATTCCTATTGCCATTATTACCATGTCTATTCGTACCATGTAGGACAGCATAAGGGTTAAAGTCAGCATCTACACGATCTCGCAGCCACTGCTGAAGATCCATCAATGTCGGTTCCCTCGTTTTCATAACTGATTTCACATGTTCATTCCACCGTGTCACCTTGTCTGCTGGAAGTCTTCTAGCAGCTGTTAGCAGAATATCACAACTTCCTAAGTCAGACATGTACTTGAGTTGCTGTAGAGTTGTGATAAAATCTCTGATGCTCACATAAAAATGTCGGAGGGCAGCAGAATCACAAGCTGAAATTACAGGTGCGTGTGTATGTGTATGTGTATGTGCGGCTGCTTGTACTAGCCCAGACTGAAGCTGGTTTTATAGCGCTAGCCCACTGAGATACCATGCCGCAGTGAAGCATGAATACCCCACTAAGACACATTATACTGACTCCGAGCCGACCAGTCCTTGTTGTACCCATTAATGACGAGCGCCAGGCAGGGACCAACAAGTACCATATTTTAACGTCTTTTGGTATGACGCGGTCGAGGATCGAACCCGCGACCTTCCGCTCTCCGGGCGGACGCTCTAACCACTACACCACGGAGGCGGTCTGCACTTGACAGACAAGTCGTTGCGCCAGTATCGGTTTGTGTTCTTTATCCAAATGGGTTTTTTGTACAAAGCTTTTGTTCTGTTGCTATGATTTCGTTGTATTTCTTTCAACTGATTTCACAAAGCCATCGTTGCGCAACGACTACCGTAAATCCTGTACTTTATAAAATAAATCCTGTCTGTCTTATATCATCCAATCCACCACCACTCCAGACCATCTCCTCTCTCTCTATTCGCTGGTCTCGTCGAAGATCTCGATTCCTCTCAAGGGCACAATACGTGAAGCGTGTTTTGGGGGTATTGAAAGTGCTGGAGTATTATTGCCAAAGCGTCCAACCCATCACAAACTCACCCCTCCCTATCTCGCCACATTTGACCACATGAAACCATCCAATCTCACCGATAACCAACATTCCAGCCGACCCCACAATCACCATCATATAATTCACCTTTACAACTCTTTTTGCTGGAATGCTGTATGATGAATCGCTTGTCTGAACCTCCCTTAGCTTATTACACGACCCCAAAGGTCAAGAGTAATGGGTGTTGATGCTAATAAAGCTTTCCGACTCAAACTACTCTTCAGTGGTCTTGTCCAGGGTTGGGGGAATCGAAACCGGATTTGTTCGTAGATGTTTCAGAATGATATCAGAGAGATGAAAAAACAGGCACCTATTATACATTCGACCTTCAAGTATGGAAGGGGTATGGAGGAAAGTATGTCCCTGTGTTGAACTTGAGGCATGTTTCTAGGACAACAGGAGAATATTTAATAATTATCTGAGGTACTCTCCTTGCACTCGGGACCTTCTTTTACTTTATGGAATGTGGTGACAAATAGGCAATTTGCTATGAATACGGGCGGTCATAGCCTGACGGAGCAGCTATGATCGCAGATTTTAATCCAAGATTGCGCAAGGTTGATGACCAATAACCATCATATCTGTATTAACTTGATTCATCAAAGTGGTTAATGTGTAATACCTGCTGGAATGACCTAAAGTTCCGAATTTATGACATATAACAGGCATATCGTTCAACTTGACTATGTGACTTGATCCTCTTTTTAATATGCTTATATCTCTATATATTGCTGAAATGTTGCCAAAGTGACTTAATTTTAACTCACTCACTCACTATATCTCTATAAAACGATGGGAACAGCAGCAGAGACAGACCTGGATATTCGTGTTGTCCGTCACTGGTCTGCCTCTTGAGTTGACAATGTAGGATATCCGGACTTTTGTAGTCAAGACACCCCGAAAATACAGAAACCCAACCTTTATGTCTTGTTGTAGATGCCCGTTAATATGCAAGTCCCTACGACTTTGGTAGATGGGATTATCAAGGACGGTAGCTTCTAATATTTAAGGGCGGTAGGGTAGCCTAGTAGTTAAATCGTTCGCTCGTCACGCCGAAGACCCGGGTTCGATTCTCCACATGACTACAATGTGTGACTGCCATTTCTGGTGTCACCTTTGTGATATTGCTGGAATATTGCTAATAGAGGCGTAAACCCAACTCACTCACTCACCCTAGAGTTAGAGGGAATCAAAACCCGCGCTATTGGTATGAGAATGAAACTGTATCCGGTGCGCTACCCCGTCGCTGTTTAAAGTTACGGAGTTCAAAATATTTCTGTGCTTCTTTCAAATCCATCTAACCAAACGTTCAATCCTTCCCATCAGGATTTGTATAATAACAAACTAAAGTCAAGACCACCTCTTGGTGTACGTATGTGAGTGAGTGAGTGAGTGAGTTTAGTTTTATAGTTCAGACATATTTCAGCTATATGGCGTCGGTCTGTAAATAATCGAGTCTGGATCAGACCATCAAGTGATCAACAGCATGATCATCGATCTGCGCAATTGGGAACCGATGACATATGTCAACCAAGCCAGCGAGCCGGACCACCCGATCCGGTTAGTCGCCTCTTACGACAAGCATGGGTTACTGAAGGTTCATTCTAACCCGGACCTTCACGGGTCGTACGTATGTAGTCACATATCATCAAAACATGTGAACACTTTCCAAAGGAACTTATGGGGTTCCGAAATGATGACCTTTGGTTTGAGAATCATTTGAACAATTACATAAACATGCATACTGCTCACACACGACCACCCGAAACACAGAAAACCCTGACATACATAACATACACTCCACATACCACACCATTCACACAGAGAGAAAACACTGAAATACATAACATATACACCACATACCACACCATACACACCGAAAACCCCCAAATACATAACATATACAGCACACCACAACACATGCTACACACCCACACACATAAGTAAACTAAACACACCAAACATACCACATCACGCCAAGAACGCAATAACACGATACACATACACACACACATCATACACACCATACACCCGCACAGAACACATCCCAGTTTCCACGTAAAACACAACACAAACGGACAAGGGGGACGATAGGGCAGTTGTTGTAATCTCTACAGTTCAATGTTTGACCAGAATACCACAGGTATATTCGTTGATTCAAAGTATAGTTTCGCAACAACTTGCTCCATGTGACGCTTTTATCCGACTGGAAGCCACACGCCGTTGTTAAAATAACTGTAATATTTTTCAATGCATAACAAAACAAAACCCAACTCACTCACTCTGACGCATGTTCACACACATAATGCCCTTTAAATCAAACACAAACCCGAGAATATTTCAGAAGATTGTATTGATTTTACACAGACATGAAAACCATGCTCAGACAAACTAACAGTACTGGACGTTCCCCAGAAGCCAGCCAAAGTGAGATACGGGGCGATATCAGTCATTCATTGCATAACAACTAACTGAAACGAAGACAAACAAGTGCTCATCAATACTGGACATACAAGGCAGCGTATAACCTCACAAAACGCACGACGAAGACAACTATTACACGAGTTTTTCAGTGTCTGTATCCTGAACACAAACTGCAACACAACACAACGGCTAAGAGAACCATTGCGCGCGATTATCAGTGTGTGTATCCTGAACACAAACTGCAACACAACACAACGGCTAAGACAACCATTACACGCGTTTATCAGTGTCTGTATCCTGAACACAAACTGCAACACAAAACAACGGCTAAGACAACCATTACACGAGTTTATCAGTGTCTGTATCCTGAACACAAACTGCAACACAAAACAACGGCTAAGACAACCATTACACGAGTTTATCAGTGTCTGTATCCTGAACACAAACTGCAACACAAAACGCACGACGAAGACAACCATTACACGCGTTTATCAGTGTCTGTATCCTGAACACAAACTGCAACACAAAACAACGGCTAAGACAACCACTACACGAGTTTATCAGTGTCTGTATCCTGAACACAAACTGCAACACAAACCACACGACGATGACAATCATTACACGAGTTTATCAGTGTCTGTATCCTGAACACAAATTGCAACACAAAAAACAACGGCTAAGACAACCATTACACGAGTTTATCAGTGTCTACATCCTGAACACAAACTGCAACACAAAACGCACGACGAAAACAACAATTACACGAGTTTATCAGTGTCTGTATCCTGAACACAAACTGAAACACAAAACAGCGGCTAAGACTAAAATAACAACTGATCATCATTGTTTATAACTTACCAGTTATTAACCTCACGACATCGTTAACTCTTGCACAGAACGACGACCAGGTCTAACACGAGATCATCAGTATCTGTTATTGCACGCCATAACCTGCACTGTAGCCTGCACTATTTCACAGAATACACACTAAGAATAAACTAATACGAGTTCACCAATGTCTGTTAGCTACAGGCGTAAAAGAAAGTTTGTCAAATTTTACTATCACCCGGTGTGAAATAAATCCACAAGCTACACTTATATTACTAGACAACCCTGCGAAACAAGAAGGTTATACACGGAAAGTTTTCCATTACGTATTGCTATCATGGCTGCTGTGTCCCCTTCCTTGTCCCTGGCGTTTATGTCGACCAGGTTCTGTGACAGGATATACTTCACCATCTCCACACGTCCGCCTGAGGACGCCACATGAAGGATGCTTTGACCCTCAGCATCCACTAAGTCAGTTAAACCACCTTTACTCACAAGCAGATCAAGCACCTTTCTTTGTCCATAAAATGCCGCCCACATCAAGGCTGTCCTCCCGTATTTTCCTCTGCTGTTGATATTTACCAGATCTAGCGATAGGATATACTGACAAATGTGTCTATGTCCCCCAATTGAGGCATAATGAAGTATGTTGTCTCTTTCAAAATCAAAAAGTGACACATTAGCTTTCGTATTCACGAGGTACTCGAAAATATCTATGTGTCCCTTATGAGCAGCCTTCATCAGTGGGGTAGCTCCGTATCGTCCCCGACTGTTGATATTCACCAGGTCATGTGATAGGATATACTGAACGATCTCTGCATTTCCCCAAATTGAGGCATAATGAAGTATGTTGTCTCCGTTATCATCTACGTGTGACACATTAGCTCTCTTATTCACGAGGAACTCAAAAACGTCTTTGTGTCCGATATATGCGGCCTTCATTAGCGGGGTTGCTCCCTTACGTGTTCTACTGTTAATGTCCACGATGTTTTGGGAAAGGATATACTTCGCCATCTCGACCTGTCCATCAAATGCGGCCAGGTGAAGGATGTTGTTACCCTTATAATCCACTAAGTGAGTTAGACCACCTTCGCTCACAAGAAGATCAAACACTTTTCTATGTCCATAATACGCCGCTCTCATCAATGGTGTCCTCTCGTATTTTCCTCTACTATTAATATCCACCAGGTCTTGTGATAGGATATACTGAACGATCTCTGCATGTCCCAAAATTGAGGCATAATGAAGTATGTTGTCTCCGTTATCATCTACGTGTGACACATTAGCTCTCTTATTCACGAGGTACTCAAAAACGTCTTTGTGTCCCTTATATGCGGCCTTCATCAGCGGGGTTGCTCCCTTATGTGTTCTACTGTTAATGTCCACGATGTTTTGGGAAAGGATATACTTCGCCATCTCGACCTGTCCATCAAATGCGGCCAGGTGAAGGATGTTGTTACCCTTATTATCCACTAAGTGAGTTAGACCACCTTTCGCTCTCAAGAAGATCAAACACTTTTCTATGTCCATAATACGCCGCTCTCATCAATGGTGTCCTCTCGTATTTTCCTCTACTATTAATATCCACCAGGCCTTCTGATATGACACACTGAACGATCTCTGCATGTCCCCAAATTGAGGCATAATGAAGTATGTTGTCTCCGTTATCATCTACGTGTGACACATTAGCTCTCTTATTCACTAGGAACTCAAAAACGTTTTTGTGTCCCTTATAAGCGGCCTTCATCAGCGGGGTTGCTCCTGTGTTTGTTCTACTGTTAATGTCCACGATGTCTAGGGATAGGATATGGTTTGCCATCTCGACCTGTCCACCAAATGCGGCCAGGTGAAGGATGTTGTTACCCTTATTATCCACTAAGTGAGTTAGACCACCTTTACTCTCAAGCAGATCGAACACTTTTCTATGTCCATAATACGCTGCTGTCATCAGTGGCGTCCTTCCGTATTTTCCTCTACTGTTAATGTCCACGATGTCCTGTGATATGATATGCTGAACCATCTTTGCATGTCCTCCAATTGAAGCATGATGAAGTATGTTGTCTCCTGTATCATCAACATGTGACACATTAGCCCCCATACTGACGAGGAACTGAAAAACGTCTCTGTGTCCTTCTGATGCAGCCTTAATCAAGGGGGTCTCTCCGCGATTCTCCCTACTGTTAATATCAACACTGTATTGTGTGAGTACATACTTCACCATACCCAAATGTCCCACTCTGCATGCCAAGTGCAGGATATTGTCTCCGTCATCATCTACGTCAGACAAATTAGCCCCGTTAGTCACGAGGAACTTGGACACGTCTTTGTGTCCACAATATACAGTCTGCAGCAATGGAGTTGACCCGTGCATTCCCTTACTGTTAATATCAACACTGTAGTGTTTGACTACATCCTTCACAATACCCATATGTCCCCCTCTGCTGGCCAAGTGCAGGACATTGTCTCCATGTTGATCCATGTTTGATACATTAGCTCCTTTTTCTAACAGAAAGGCAAATAGTCGTCGATGTCCCTCCTGTGCAACCACCATAAGTGGTGTCTTTCTGTGCTTATCACCTCTACTGTTAACATCACCCAAACCTCGGGACAGGATGCGTTTCACTCGGCCCAGATCCCCCTTCCTACAGGCAACGTGAAGTGGGCTGTTCTCTTGACTTACCAGCTTGCCTTCGTGTTCCTGTGGACATCTTCCATGGGTATTCCTCTGATCTTCTGCTGAATGAATGTTTTGATTAAAAATAACGACAATTTGTTGGCATTTAGAATGAATACTGAGAAATCACCTGAACTTAATATGCCAGAAAAATTAAATTGTGTACTGACGCCTCTGTCTAAGGTTAACTGTTTACATTGAGGCTTTTCTTGAGCAGGGCAAATAAATGTTTCTGACTGTAAACTCTTGTTGCACAAGTTTTTCCAATAGTCCGAACTTTGGTCTCAATTATATCTTAGGTAAGTCATCAAGTCAGTAACGTCGATCTGCAATTGGAAGTTGCAAAGTCTGCTTTTACTTGCAAATATCATTTTCCTCATCCAGTGTTTCCGACAGCATGCTACTGGTATAGTTTATTGAAAACTAAACACTCTATCTTTACTTGAAAAAACATTATGTCTGAAACAATGAAACATGCATGGATTATGGTAACAAATACATTATTGTATGTAATCTTTCAGTGAATTAATGCCACATCGGCAGTATTGCAAACTTGCCGTTACAATGACAGGTTTGCATTGATAACAATAACTTGGTATATATACACACTTTTCAAACAAAGAAACTTGACATAGGAAAAACATGAATTTTAGGAAAATATTTAACACAAACCAATCAATGCTGAATCACAACATGTGCGGGAATGGCTGCCGACGACAAAACGTTTGAAAAAAGAAACTTTGAACAAAAACGTAACGTTACACTCACGTATGTAGTGAATTGCTAAAACGCACCCTACGTGAAATGCACGTGCATCGTGAAATTGTGTAACACCCTGAGCTGAATCCTATGACTGTAGGCTTTAAAAGGCAACACCATGGTACTCCACATGCATTGCTTTAAGCCACTATAGTCGACAAGAGAATGAAAAGACTGACAGGAGCTCAACGACACAACGCCATTGGCCGTTAACAAGGACGGGCATCGCAGCATGAGGTAGCGTGGCACCTCAGTGTGTCCAGAAAAACCATCTCAAACCTATGGACACGATACAACTATACTGGGAGTATGAATTACAGACCCAGGTCAGGTCGACCTAGAGTTACCACCGTCGCCCAGGGTCTCGATTTTCTCTTATTGCTAAGAGAGTCGTAAGTGCCATCCATTAACATTAACTTACGACTATCTTAGCGCTAAGAGGAGCTTCGAAAATCTAGGCCCAGGATTGCTTTATCCGGGTTGAGACACCTTCGTTCAAACACCACAGCCGCATCATCCACAACAATCTAAATTCCTAGACTGCACGGAATCTCCGATCAGATAGTGCGCAGTTGGCTATGGGAAACCAGACTTTTGCCAGAAGTCCAATTCGACTTCCCGTCATTCCTTTCATCAACGTCAACGGTTGATCTTTATAGCACGACAATGCTCGACCTCACACTGCACGTGTTTGACAGGACTTCCTCCAGCAGAACAATGTTCAGGTGTTACCTTGGCCTTCTCGATCATCCGATTTGTCCCCCACTCAACATCTATGGGTTACTCTTGATCGACGCTTGCACCAGCGAAATCCGCCACCTCAGACACTACAAGAACTGCTGCCTAAGAATATGGAGGGATTTGAATTTCAGTTTTGTTGTTGTTCTTTTAATGGCAGTGCTTACCGTCTTACATACCCTATTACTCGAATCGAACATCTTCCTCGTGTTTTGGAACAGATGGATATTTGACAGAGTCAGATTAGGAAAAGAAGAACCCTTCTCGCAGATTGTAGCCTAGGCAAGACTAGTGTGTGCTCTCCCGCATTGTCATTTTCTCAGTTTTCTGAGTCTTCCATTACGACGCCCACAATCCCAGCATTCCGGAACACACTGGATAGGACCATTCAACCTGATGGAACAGGAAAATGTTTGCCCTTTTGAATTGTGATCCATCTCATTGCCCAGGTTTGGTTACTGTTCACACTTTAACTTGAAGCCATGAACACACGTTTTCACCCAGGGTGCCCATTCTCGATTGTTTCTCAGCTAAGTCAGATGCTTACTAGTTAAAACAGAAGTTAGGACATCCTACCTTTAGAATATGACCCATTCTGGAAAAAAACCCTATGCCTGTCCTAACTGGAGCTACCGATACTAGCTAGGGTAGCGAGCCCTTCAGTAGGTGAGATAGAAAACAACATTAAGTTGAGCATTACCTTAAATACTATCCATAATTCATTGCATGAAGAAGGTAAGAACTGATCACATCTCTTTTGTATATCTAAAGAATATGTGCATTGCAGCAAGTGTGTCTATTCATTACCGATATATTGATAGTATAAACACATCCAAACCGTGTGCTATTGTAAATTCAAATGTAATTTAGGCGAGTTATTTTGGTTGACGAGGTCAAAATGGGTGAACAATCAAGAACTACCGAACAGGTTAACTTCTACTAAGACAGACTTAGGACAAGTCAGAACCTATCCACTTCAGACTCCTGCATGTTGGAATATATTTGTTGAACTGAGTCGTGTTTTCATGGATGTAGCTCTGTGACGTCATGTAATGTCCACAAAGTAAGATTACACTTATTAGTATTTCTTTCTGTGTTGAACGCAGAATTTAGCAATGAACCTTAGTCTGTTCAGCACACATCACATCAAAGCCATGATAAAAAAAAGACCCATCTTACAATCTCTTGATGTTAAGCACTCCAGAACAAGGCTCAAACGAACTAGACTTTCACAACTGGGTGTTTAATTTTGTTGCAATCAGAAGTTAGTGGATATCTCTACATGATCGTATACACTTGACTGGTGATTGGTATGTCAACCCACTTACTGGACACTGGCGACCGAGTCATCACACGTGCTGCAGTTTGTTCCGGAGAGTTGTGTCCCGTCAGCATTCAGAACCTCTGACAGTGGCTTTGAATAGTGTTCAGCTGAGTCTGATCCATACATCCCTTTGCGCTTTGCTCCTGCGTTAATGCCGACATGCCATTGCACTTCTGGAGTACTTATTTCCGAGTGTCCTAACAGTTTAGTAACCCCTACCCACGAACGACTGGTGCAGTGATCTTAACTTTCTGTCTCTCGATTACACGTAATAGACTGAAGTGCAAGCCGGTGCTGGAGTTGTAGTACAATGTATGCAACACCCGTCTGAGGTGCAAGGTGAACATGAAGCATATTGCAACACCCTATGGCCAATAACTGCACGTCAGTGCCGTATGCAGGTTGTGCATCAAGTGTTTTATTACCGAGTCTACAAAGTACAAGAACGTTCCAGAGAATAAAGTAAAGGGCAGTCATTACCTAATACGCTGGAGGCTTTTCCAGATCGAGTTTCCTGGCATCGTCGCCTGAGCCTGCAAGTCTTAGATGGACATACGTAAGACTTCACCTTCAAACAAAATGAGTAAGTTTTGTTATATCAATGAATCGAATGAACTTAAATCACAGTAAATACATTTATTCTTAAATTTGTGAGTTTCGTTAAGTTATATTTAGTCTCTTTGTTGAATCATTTTTTGTATACCAAGTGCCGACTTAAAATAGGTTATGGATGTGAGCAATAAAATTTGTTTATGAAGGCAGTCATAAACACTAGCCTCCATATGAGTGTTGGGTTATGCTAATAGCTCTCCCTCTCCATGAACCGGGGTAGTATATAGTGGACATGATTCGTACGGTTGAAAGTAACATTCACCTGACGAAGGGGCAAGGAATAGCCCAGATACGTTGTGTGATCAATCA